TCATCCGGGTGGGGAACCGGATCGACCGGGTGGGAAACCGGACCAACCGGACCGACCGGACCATCCGGGTGGGGAACCGGACCCGGCCGGACCATCCGGGTGGGGTACCGGGTCAGGAACCGGACTGGGAACCGGATCATCCGGGTCATCCGGATGGGGAACCGGATCATCCGGGTCATCCGGGTGGAGAACCGGATCAACCGGACCATCCGGTTGGGGTACCGGGTGGGGAACCGGACCAACCGGACAGGGAACCGGACGAGAAGCCGGATCATCCGGGTCATCCGTATGGGGAATTGGATCGACCGGGTGATCCGGGTGGGGAACCGGATCAGCCGGGCAAGCCCGATGGGGAACCGGGTGGGGAAACGGACCAGCCGGGTAGGGTACCGGGCGGGGAACCGGACCATCCGGGTCATCCGGGTGGGGATCCGGATCGACCGGGTCATCCGGGTGGGGAACCGGACCAACCGGACCATCCGGGTGGGGAACCGGGTCGGGAACCGGATCAACCCGACCATCCGGTTGGGGAGCCGGACCAATCGGACCGTCCGGGTGGGGAGCCGAATCGACCGGGTGGGAAATCGGACCAACCGGGTGGGGAACCGGACCAACCGGACCATCCGGGTGGGGAACCGGGTCGGGAACCGGATCAACCCGACCATCCGGTTGGGGAACCGGACCAATCGGACCGTCCGGGTGGGGAGCCGAATCGACCGGGTGGGAAATCGGACCAACCGGGTGGGGAACCGGACCAACCGGACCATCCGGGTGGGGAACCGGGTCGGGAACCGGATCAACCCGACCATCCGGTTGGGGAACCGGACCAATCGGACCGTCCGGGTGGGGAGCCGAATCGACCGGGTGGGAAATCGGACCAACCGGGTGGGGAACCGGACCAACCGGACCATCCGGGTGGGGAACCGGGTCGGGAACCGGATCAACCCGACCATCCGGTTGGGGAACCGGACCAATCGGACCGTCCGGGTGGGGAGCCGAATCGACCGGGTGGGAAATCGGACCAACCGGGTGGGGAACCGGACCAACCGGACCATCCGGGTGGGGAACCGGGTCGGGAACCGGATCAACCCGACCATCCGGTTGGGGAACCGGACCAATCGGACCGTCCGGGTGGGGAGCCGAATCGACCGGGTGGGAAATCGGACCAACCGGGTGGGGAACCCGGTGCGGTTCCGGGTCGGGAGCCGGGTCAACCGGACCATCCGGACGGGGAACCGGATGATCCGGGTGGTCCGGGTGGGGAAGCGGACCAACCGGACCAACCGGGTGCGGTACCGGGTGGGAAACCGGACCAAACGGGTAGTGATCCGGACGGGGAACCGGATCACCCGGGTCGGGAACCGGATCGACCGGATCTGGGGTGGGGAACCGGACCATCCGGGTGGGGAACCGGGTGGGGTACCGGGTCGGGGAACCGGATCAACCGGACCATCCGGACGGGGAACCGGATCATCCGGGTGGTCCGGGTGGGGTGCCAAATCGACCGTGCGGGGAGTCGGACCAGCCGGACCATCCGGGTGGGGTACCGGGTCGGGAACCGGATCAACCGGACCATCCGGATGGGGAACCGGATCATCCGGGAAGGGAACCGGATCGACCGGGTCTAGGGTGGGGAACCGGACCATCCGGGTCGGTCGGGTCGGAACCCGGATCCGGAACCGGGTGTTGAACCGTATCAACCGGATGGGAGCCGGATGGACCCAATCGGACGGACAAGCCGGACCGAAAACGGGTGGGGAACCGGATCGGAACCGGGTGGAGAGCCGAATGGGCCGGTTCGGTCGGATCAACCGGGCCGGAAACGGGTGGGTAACCGGATCAACCGCCCCAGCCGGGTGAGGGATCGGGTCGACCCGGTAGGGAGCCGGATCGACCGGATCGGAACCGGTTGGGAAACCGGATTCACCGGACCGACCGGATCGACCGGATCAACCGGGTGGGGAGCCGGGTCAACCGGACGGGGAACCGGATGGACCGGACCAGCCGGATCATCCGGGTTGGAGCCGGGCGGGGAACAGGATCAACCGGTTGAGCCGGGTCGATGGATCCGGATCCCACCACCCTAGGCGGGATGGATCCGGGTCGCACCCCCCCGGTTGGGATGGATCCCGATCACCCCTCTCGGGATGGGATGGATCCGGATCTCACCACCCTGGACGGGATGGATCCGGATAACCCCGCCGGGGGGTTGGGATGGATCCGGATCACACCACCCTGGATGGGATGGATACGGATCGCACCTCCCCGGTGGGGATTGATCCGGTTCGAAACACCGCGGGTGGGATGGGTCCGGTCCGAACCACCCTGGAAGGGATGGATCCGGACCGGGCCACCGTGGATGGGACGGGTCCGGTTCTTTGACGGCTCCCGGGTGGGTGTGGGTCCTTGGACGGGCCCACACCCTCCCTAGAGCCCTTTATTCTTTGGGTCACACCTTCGTTCTCGACCGGGGTTCTTTGCGGGCTCTAGGGTGGGTGTGGGTCCTTGCACGGACCCCTACCTTCCCTACCGGGTCGGGAACCGGATCGACCGGACCATCCGGACGGGGAACCGGATCATCCGGGTCATCCCGGAAGGGAACCGGATCGACCGGGTCTAGGTTAGGGAACCGGACCATCCGGGTGGGGAACCGGGTCCGGTACCGGGTCGGGAACCGGATCGACCGGGTCTAGGGTAGGAAGCCGGACCATCCGGGTGGGGAACCGGATCGACCGGGTCTAGGGCAGGAAGCCGGACCATCCGGGTGGGGAACCGGGTCCGGTGCCGGATCGACCGGGTCTAGGGTAGGAAGCCGGACCATCCGGGTGGGGAACCGGGTCGGCCAACCGGGTCGGGTACCGGATCGACCGGATCTAGGGTAGGAAGCCGGACCGTCCGGGTGGGGAAGCGGGTCGGGTACCAGGTCTAGGGTAGGAAGCGGGACCATCCGGGTGGGGAACCGGGTCGGGTACCGGGTCGGAAACCGGATCGACCGGACCAACCGGATGGGGAACCGGATCATCCGGATCATCCGCATGGGGTGCCGAACCGACCGTGTCGGGAGTCGGACCAACCGGGTGGGGTACCGGGTCGGGAACCGGATCGACCGGACCATCCGACCGGGGAACCGGATCATCCGGGTCATCCGGGAAGGGAACCAGATCTAGGTTAGGGAACCGGACCATCCGGGTGGGGAACCGGGTCGGGTACCGGGTCGGGAACCGGATCGATCGGGTCTAGGGTAGGAAGCGGGACCATCCGGGTGGGGAGCCGGGTCGGGTACCGGGTCGGGAACCGGATCGACGGGATCTAGGGTAGGAAGCCGAACCATCCGGGTGGGGAACCGGGTCGGGTACCGGACCGGGAACCGGATCCACCGGACCAACCGGATGGGGAACCGGATCATCCGGATCATCCGCATGGGGTGCCGAACCGACCGTGTCGGGAGTCGGACCAACCGGGTGGGGTACCGGGTCGGGAACCGGATCGACCGGACCATCCGACCGGGGAACCGGATCATCCGGGTCATCCGGGAAGGGAACCGGATCTAGGTTAGGGAACCGGACCATCCGGGTGGGGAACCGGGTCCGGTACCGGGTCGGGAACCGGATCGACCGGGTCTAGGGTAGGAAGCCGGACCATCCGGGTGGGGAGCCGGGTCCGGTACCGGGTCGGGTACCGGACCGACCGGGTCTAGGGTAGGAAGCCGGACCATCCGGGTGGGGAACCGGGTCCGGTACCGGGTCGGGTACCGGATCGACCGGATCTCGGGTAGGAAGCCGTACCATCCGGGTGGGGAACCGGGTCGGGTACCGGGTCGGGAACCGGATCGACCGGGTCTAGGGTAGGAAGCGGGACCATCCGGGTGGGGAGCCGGGTCGGGTACCGGGTCGGGAACCGGATCGACGGGATCTAGGGTAGGAAGCCGAACCATCCGGGTGGGGAACCGGGTCGGGTACCGGGTCGGGAACCGGATCGACCGGGTCTAGTGTAGGAAGCGGGACCATCCGGGTGGGGAACCGGGTCGGGTACCGGACCGGGAACCGGATCCACCGGACCAACCGGATGGGGAACCGGATCATCCGGATCATCCGCATGGGGTGCCGAACCGACCGTGTCGGGAGTCGGACCAACCGGGTGGGGTACCGGGTCGGGAACCGGATCGACCGGACCATCCGACCGGGGAACCGGATCATCCGGGTCATCCGGGAAGGGAACCGGATCCAGGTTAGGGAACCGGACCATCCGGGTGGGGAACCGGGTCCGGTACTGGGTCGGGAACCGGATCGACCGGGTATAGGGTAGGAAGCCGGACCATCCGGGCGGGGAGCCGGGTCCGGTACCGGGTCGGGTACCGGACCGACCGGGTCTAGGGTAGGAAGCCGGACCATCCGGGTGGGGAACCGGGTCGGGTACCGGACCGACCGGATCTAGGGTAGGAAGCCGGACCATCCGGGTGGGGAACCGGGTCGGGTACCGGACCGGGAACCGGATCCACCGGACCAACCGGATGGGGAACCGGATCATCCGGATCATCCGCATGGGGTGCCGAACCGACCGTGTCGGGAGTCGGACCAACCGGGTGGGGTACCGGGTCGGGAACCGGATCGACCGGACCATCCGACCGGGGAACCGGATCATCCGGGTCATCCGGGAAGGGAACCGGATCTAGGTTAGGGAACAGGACCATCCGGGTGGGGAACCGGGTCCGGTACCGGGTCGGGAACCGGATCGACCGGGTCTAGGGTAGGAAGCCGGACCATCCGGGTGGGGAGCCGGGTCCGGTACCGGGTCGGGTACCGGACCGACCGGGTCTAGGGTAGGAAGCCGGACCATCCGGGTGGGGAACCGGGTCGGGTACCGGACCGACCGGATCTAGGGTAGGAAGCCGGACCATCCGGGTGGGGAACCGGGTCGGCCAACCGGGTCGGGTACCGGATCGACCGGATCTAGGGTGGGAAGCCGGACCATCCGGGTGGGGAACCGGGCCGGCCAACCGGGTCGGGTACCGGATCGACCGGGTCTATGGTAGGAAGCCGGACCATCCGGGTGGGGAACCGGGTCGGGTACCGGGTCGGGTACCGGATCGACCGGATCTAGGGTAGGAAGCCGTACCATCCGGGTGGGGAACCGGGTCGGGTACCGGGTCGGGAACCGGATCGACCGGGTCTAGGGTAGGGAGCGGGACCATCCGGGTGGGGAACCGGGTCGGGTACCGGCGGATCGACCGGACCATCCGGATGGGGAACCGGGGTGCCGAACCGACCGTGTGGGGAGTCGGACCAACCGGGCCAGCCGGGTGGGGTACCGGATCCGGTACCGGATCAACCGGACCATCCGGCCGGGGAACCGGATCATTCGGGTCATCCGGGAAGGGAACCGGACCGACCGGGTCTAGGGTAGGAAGCCGGACCATACGGGTGGGGAACCGGGTCGGGTACCGGGTCGGGAACCGGATCGACCGGGTCTAGGGTAGGAAGCGGGACCATCCGGGTGGGGAGCCGGGTCGGGAACCGGATCGACCGGATCTAGGGTAGGAAGCCGAACCATCCGGGTGGGGAACCGGGTCGGGTACCGGGTCGGGAACCGGATCGACCGGGTCTAGTGTAGGAAGCGGGACCATCCGGGTGGGGAACCGGGTCGGGTACCGGGTCGGGTACCGGATCGACCGGATCTATGGTAGGAAGCCGGACCATCCGGGTGGGGAACCGGGTCGGGTACCGGATCGACCGGATCTAGGGTAGGAAGCCGAACCATCCGGGTGGGGAACCGGGTCGGGTACCGGGTCGGGAACCGGATCGACCGGGTCTAGTGTAGGAAGCGGGACCATCCGGGTGGGGAACCGGGTCGGGTACCGGGTCGGGTACCGGATCGACCGGATCTATTGTAGGAAGCCGGACCATCCGGGTGGGGAACCGGGTCGGGTACCGGGTCGGGTACCGGATCGACCGGGTCTAGGGTAGGAAGCTGGACCATCCGGGTGGGGAACCGGGTCGGGTACCGGGTCGGGAACCGGATCGACCGGGTCTAGGGTAGGAAGCGGGACCATCCGGGTGGGGAACCGGGTCGGGTACCGGCGGATCGACCGGACCATCCGGATGGGGAACCGGGGTGCCGAACCGACCGTGTGGGGAGTCGGACCAACCGGGCCAACCGGGTGGGGTACCGGGTCGGGAATCGGATCAACCGGACCATCCGGCCGGGGAACCGGATCATCCGGGTCATCCGGGAAGGGAACCGGACCGACCGGGTCTAGGGTAGGAAGCCGGACCATACGGGTGGGGAACCGGGTCGGGAACCGGATCGACCGGGTCCAAGGTAGGAAGCCGGAACATCCGGGTGTGGAACCGGGTCGGGTGAGGGACCGGTTCGACCCGGTAGGGAGCCGGATCAACCGGGTCGGAACCGGGTAGGGAACCGGATGGGGAACCGGATCTACTGGACCGGCCGGCTCGACCGGGTGGGGATCCGGGTCAACCGGACTTGGAACCGGTTGGACCGGACCGGACGGGGAACCAGATCTACCGGACCGGCCGGATCGACCGGGTGGGGAGCTGGGTCAACTGGACGTGGAACCGGATGGACCGGACCGGCCGGATCATCCGGGCTGGAACCGGGCGGGGAACCGGATCGACCGGGTCGATGG